ATATATATGAGGGAATTTTAATATAATTTGTAAAATTTCATCTTATAGCTTTAGATTGATATTAACGAAGTTGATATTAACGAGGGGAGACTGTATATATATATATATATATATCGATATATATATATAGTTATTAAAAAAAACAAAATTTTCGGTCGCTTATGATAATAGATGTAATTGAATTGCCTGCCAAAGAACATTCGTAAAATTAGAATACATACGGTAAATTTGTGGAATTTGACCTTTATTTTAGTCTTCGTATTTAACAGAAGTTTTCGCACTTTAATAGATTTAAAATTTAATATTATATTTGGGAACTTAAGGTCAACTTTCTCAAATAAGTCGTGATTGGTTCAATGTTATAAATTTCCTGAATGAATTTAATTTAAATCATGTTAGGTGTACATCATAAAAATTACTAATACAGCATGATAAATCACCATTTCTTGAAAAGAACACGATGACACAAATAACCCATAATAGTAACAACCGAGATTTGCTTCGAGTAATTCTAGCATTCACTTCGGAATTATAGGGTTAGACTTTGGTTTATAATCATCCTTTATTTTCTGACAAGCACAAGCACATTTCTGACAGCCCATTTCGCTGATAGAAGTTTTTAACGAGTGCTTCTTTCTCGATCAAACTAAACTCAATTCTTCGACATGAAATATAATATTAATCTATCGTTTTTATTCGCCCTCAAAATATAAGCAGTTAGAAATAATTGCAGTTTATGATCGCTCTATTAAATGTAAAAGCACCAGCATTTTTTTGAAGCATGATACATAAATCCAGTAAAGTAATCTGAAAAGACATCATTAAGCAAAAATTAAAAGATCAATAAATTTCACCTAAATTGAAATTTAGTAAAAAGAATAAGCCCATTCCATTACGGTTTTTCCTAGCAACAAAAGCATTCTTTAGTCCATAGTAATTCTTGCTTGACGATCATTTTTTAATTAACTTTTTGTTTATATAAATTTGTCTTCAGGTATAATCCACTTAAATTCGACATCAATTTACCATTTTACCGTGCTAATATATTCTATGAACATTTATAAATCTTGCAACATAATAAATGTTAAGGTAATCCGACCATTAAAGGGTCTAACTTAGCATTTAGGTTGGCGTATCATAGGGTCCTAAACTCGAATATGCACACCAATGGCATCCTCTCACAAAGTGCAAATCATAGAACGTTAACGTTAGTTGTCGATCCCTTAAATTTTATCGCAGATAATAAATTTAACTGTCGAAATTTTGTTTCCTGACGTTACAAATTTTTAAATCATGGATGTTATATACTATCATATAAGGATCGTCAACCAATCAGATAGATTTTAAAAAATATGCTGATTAATCATTCAGATTTAGCCTTTAATTCATGAGGGATGAATTATGTGACCGGTGGTAAACGACTACTAGCGGGTACAGATTTCAGTATTCAATATTCAGAAGGTCAAAATCCCAGGATCATGAAGATTCAAGGACAACGCACAATGTATTAATTATTAGATCATTAAATCATTATTGTTTCTTTTAAGGTGCGGGGTCACTTATGTTTTTGACTAATTGAAGTTTTTTTATCAAAATTTTATCTATTTTCACGCATACAACTAATAATTATTTTAATTTTTGTGAAGCTAGTGTTTGAACATCATTTATTAAGAAAAAAATTATATCAATATATAGCTTATCTAGAACTTTATAATCAAAAAACTGCTCAATTTGGCTGCAATTTGAATCAATGTGTAATATCCATTGAAAAATCGGCAATTAGTGACGCATAATCTAAGCTGTGTATGAAGGGGGCGAGGCTCAAATATTAAGTATCGGCGAGATCTTGCTTTCAGGATCCTGGGCGAATCTAAGAATTATTACTAATAGAAAAAACTCATAAATCATTCTTTTTATTAGAATATTGGATAATCTAAAAATCCAATGGGAGTTCCATATTTTTTTCCAATAAAACCGTATTACAGTTTTTGTTTCATAACGCTAAAAATATTGTATCACTTCTCTAGTTATTTGAGTACATCGTTTACGCACTATATGTAAAATATATTTGATATTAAAAACAAGAAAGTAATGGCTCAATAAATATACAAAAAAAAAACTTTTTTGTAATGATCAAAAGCTTAAACATGAATTATTATTAAAAGTAAATGACCAGATGTTGAAAAAAAAAAATCGGCCGACTAATCCAAAAATTAGATCTAGCCAATTTTTTAAACATTCCTTAGAATCTAAGTTTAGCAAAGAACCATGTATTCTTTCCTGCTTTATATCTATCCTGTAAAGCCTTCTTTACTGCTTTCTTGGCTGCAACTCGTTGAGAAGGTTCTTTAAAACAGTCTTGGTTAACGATTTGTTTAATATCTTCCAATTCGAAGGCATAACGTGTAGGCATTAGGTGTTTATAATTTATGACCTTAATGAAAGGCTTGATTCTTGACCTTTTAGCGATACGTTTTTGTCCCATTCTTTTGGTAACCTTTAGTGGATATCTTTCGATCCCAGCAACGACGGCATGAGCGTACGGGCGTTCCTTGGTACCTTCATCCACATTTTTCACGATCACCACCTTTTTGCCTGCGAACCGACCCGAAAGAATTATCGCTACTTTTCCAGGTTTCAAGAATTTGACCATCTTTATTACTTTTAAGATGGATGGTAAAAAGAGAAGGATACTAAAATTTTATCAAGATTCGGTTTTATTGCATGTTACACTCAGATGTAGACGTACCCCATGGTCAGAGGACCGTCAAAATTTATTTCTAATTAACCAATCAGAATACAAGATCAGGTTAGTGATACGAATCATATTGCATGATGGAAGTTTAATTGGTCAACATTTTATATTTAGAATTAACTGGTGGTGAAATTCACCGGCCTAAGAATTTTTAGGGTTAGGGTATTAAGAATTATTTTTTTTTATATATAA